TGGTCACGCCAATTCGGGTCGGGAAGACTCGGGCGGAGGGTTCCGAGCTGTCAATCAGTGGCGGTGTACTGGCATCAGTCGCTGGAGCAGATCACATCGCAACTTTATTTCCAGAAGAATTATGTTGTGACTGTACAGAACAATGAAATAATATACAACGTACAGTTCTTTTATTTTATATTTGATGGAGCGTTTGGAATGGTTCGGCGACAGTCGATATCCGAGGGAAGTAGAAACCCTGGAATTTTGTCTACACCCTGAGGAAATGCATCCATGACCTCGCAGGCTGGCGCAGAAGGGAATATGTTGAGATGATACGGGAGAGCTCCCTGTCGTCGGGTAATGAAAATGAAATGGACCCGACGACAGAGAAAACCGGCTCGAACTCCACCAAGGCGTGAACGGTTCGGGTGTCGCAGGTTCCCCTAGTTTTAGGAGCTAGCGATGCGACTGCGAGACCGACGAATGGTGAAGGCCTGGGTGAATGGTGTTTGAGAGTCGAGATCCCCGAAGTTAGGAACCTAAGGCCCTGATCGGGTCACCGGGCTCAACGACCCTGATCTGCCAAATATCAGCCAGATGGCTCGGTCTCATCAGCCATCTGGCTGATATTTGGCAGATCAGGGTCGCTGAGCACGGTGACCCGATCAGGGCCTGAAAGGTGACGCGTCCGGCGCAGAGACAAGGCAATATGGGTCAAGGGGCGTCCAGTCAAGCGCCATCAAAGATCAACCCTTTGCAGTATGTTGGTGTTTGTCACCGGCATTGATCCCGCTGAGGCGGTCACGTGTAAGCGCGCGTGCGCGCGATTCTTCGTGTTATCGGTTGCTCTCTTCATTTTGGTCAGTAAATTAATCCAGAATAATACTTTTACATATGTACTCTACTTTGTTTAGATATATGGGAGTCAGAGCCGGTAGTAGAGTGGATCCAGACCTTTCTCTTGGCCGTTTTTCGGGCCTTCCGTGCGGGGTTTCATCCATATCCGACTCCTGTGCCCATCTGTCGATATCATCACTTCCTGGAATGGTGTTTTCCACCCGAAATCTATCGGTCTCATGAGGCATGGGAGGGATAGAGGGGGGATGTGGGCATAGAGCCACTCAATGGACTTTCATTACATCCTCAGGTCACCTAAATGCCTTAATTGATGTTCCCGTACTCATATTATTTTACATCCATCGATTATATATTTGGCGCGGCCTCGCGTTTCCCAAATGTGCGCTTACACGTGACCGCCTCAGCGGGATCAATGCCGGTGACAAACACCAACATACTGCAAAGGGTTGATCTTTGATGGCGCTTGACTGGACGCCCCTTGATATGGGTGCTATAATACCGGCCTGTGAGGCCACATAGTGCCATTTCACGGGATGTTGATGGCTATTTGGAACGAACGTCCATACCATGCCGGCTCCTGGATCAAGGCTCAACTGTTATTGAGACTATGTGCATATACATCGAGGAAAATAGATGCGTATAATAAGTTTGAACAATAAAATCACCCTCGCCGAGACCAGTGTTATTCTTGACGGGGCTCAGACGGGGTTTTGACAGGGTTTAGGAGAATATTCAAACCTTTGATTGATCTTTCTTGACCAGTCAAGGCCACGGGCCGCATTGTCCGGGTCGACAATCGGGAGTATCCGAAAGCCCCTAAACATCTTTGAATTTTTTGGTTTATACTTCATTGTACTGGGTGTCAACGGGGACAACCACGAAAAAGAAATCGAAAAGGGAAGGAGGAAGTGATGCTTCAAGAGAAGTCAGGGCAACCAGGTTTCTGCTCACATTGCCTTTCTCAATTATTCCATGAGATGTTCCGATTCATTCATTACTCAACGTAAGTACAATATATTTAAAAGAAACAGTGCCGCGCAATGCCTCGCAAGAAAGAGAAGGAATTGAACGAGGAGGCCTTACATGGATGATTGCCAAACGCACGCGTGTACTCTCGACTACATATGGCTCAGTCAGTTGTTCGTACCGCCGCGGGCTCAGAGGTGAACTGCGCTTGTGCAAATGAACAAGTTCAAGGAGTCGGCAATGGTAAAGCCCATGCGGACGCGCGTGCTCCGCTACACGTGCGCGGACGTGTATATGGCGCAGAAGGACTCGATAGGCAACGTTGATGGCAAGGAGACCGGGAATACGACGGGATGGGGAGAGAGGGGATAGATCCAGGGAGGAATGATGAAAGGCGCGTAGAATGCGCGAAGGAGATGTCGGGGATGCCGCGGCTTACGACACGGAATAGGGAGGGCAGCTGGCGATGGCAGGCTGCTGGGAAAGAAGTTGGGGTGCACGATGCACAGGGTTTGACCAAGCTTTGGCGGGACGTATGAATTGGTAGTGCAAAGGATGCTGAGGAGTTTCAAATCCTGTTGAGGGTGATGATAAAACTGCTCGGGAGGCAAAAAGGCGAGCTGCACGCGTCTGTGCGCATTCCACCCAGGTGGTTCACCAGAGTTTATTACGCTGACTGCAGGAGCTGTCTGGAGCCTTGAATATCGATGTAATCCGGGTGCTTGGCAGTACACCCAAGAAAAGACGGTCTGTAGCTCGAGAGGGCGACGAGTAGCTGCTATTGAATCCGAAGAGGTGGACGGAGGGACGATACTGGAACGTGGTGGCAGATAATGCGTGATGTCACGATGTGACAGTTATCTGCCATCGGGTCGGTATATTACACTCTGCGTCGTTTGCAACATTTTGAGCAGTGGAATTGACTCCGATTTCTTTATTGTACACTCCTGATTATTTTGTGATTTAAGGAGCCCGGGAACGAAGTGAAATGGCAAAGGTGGCAGATGACTTCTCAGCCACTGGTAGTGATGTTGAGGGCCCGGCTCGGCCTGAATGCCCGGGCTTGGGCTCGGCTTGGGCAGGCTCGGGCCTCAGACTCTTCAGGCCCGAGCCCGAGCCCTGGGTGCAGGGCCTGAAGCCCTGAGCCCGGGCCCAAGCCCGGGCTTTCTCATAGCCAAAGAAAAAAACATTATGCTAGTGTACATGTATATTAATACGTGTCTGTAAATGGTACCGAATGTCCCAGCTAGTCGGTTGGGGGATTTTCAGGTCTGTTGTGAACACTGAACACTGCTGCAATTCGGTGGGTCATCGGATGCCGGCACTGAGTTCCACCATCAGCCAGTGTCGAGCGGTGCCGATCGGCCAAAGGACAGCTCCGTGTCATTAAGTTCGGCATTTGACGGCACCAAAGCCTCATAGGCCGAAGCGTCGGGGGCGCTTCCCGCCCAATTCCCGCCACCGGCGCGCTCTTGTCCAAATATATCTGGGCCCGGGCTTGGCAGGCCTGGCATTCCTCAGGCCCGAGCCCTGAGCCCTCCAAAGCCCTGTGTCGGGCTCGGCCCGGCTTGATCAAGCCCGGGCTCGGCTCGGCTCGGCTTGAGGGCCTGGGCCGAGCCCTCAACATCACTAGCCACTGGTAGATAACTACCCAGCTGATCCGGACATGAACCAATTTTTTTGACCACTGTGTAAGCACATGTTGTCAGCTCCTGACCGGTCAATGACGGGGTCATTGACTGGGTCATTGACAGGTTAATCGCTTGACGGGTCAAGGCGCCTTGACCTTTTTTGACCGTTTCGGCTTGACCCTGACAACACTGGCCGAGACGACTGACTGCGTGGTTGTAGACATCGGCTGTGAGCTTGATACGAAAAGGATCTGGCGGAGTAGTCAAGAGGAGTATCCAGGAAGGAGAGAGTAGCGGGCTATCCAGGACGCCGTACTTGCCGTGGAGAAACATCCCACATTGAATATATGAGGGGAGCATGCAGCCAAAATCAGGAGCGGAAAGAGCGGAGAAACGCTGGAAAGAATGCCCAGGGATGACGACTGAATAGAGGATTGGATACCGCAGTACGAAGCGGAAGCTTCAGCGCAGAAGAAGGAAACCACGATGCAACGAGCTAGGATTGTGGGTCAAGACTGGGCAGGGAATAATGGGAGGTCGAGCGAGAATGGGAAGGAGAGGTTTCTGATAGAACAGTGGCCCAACCGGTGGCCCTTTTATCCTCCACAGACGGCATACGCGGCCTTGCAGTGGCCGCAGTTCGAGAACTTGATGGTGCCGGGCACAGTGGGAGAGTCTCCTACCTTTTAGGAATTTTTGAATTGGCCGTGGAAGCTGGTGATCCACGGAACGCCTCTTCATGTCAGTGTAAAAATCAGGATAAATTACAATCGCTCGCAGTCGTTCGGAGCTTGCTAGCATAACGGAAATCGCGGGCACGGTGCGAATGCTAGACTCGGCTGGGTCTGAATTGTACTGAGAGGTTCGAAGGGCAGTTTCAGCAGAGCATGTCATTTGAAGCTGGGGACGAAGGACGACTAGAGAGGAAGCAGAGAGTGAAGCTGAAGGGGTTAAATCATATGGGGATGAAGCCAAAGAGATGTAAATGAAAGCCGAGGATTTGGTTTAGAGAACTCAGAACGGATAATTCCAACACCGCCTGAAAAACCGTGTTATTTCTAACTCCCAAACTCACTCTAGGAATCCACTCTTGTTTCCTTGCCATGTGCTTTATTCCGGCCCAAGACCCAAGCGAGTTCGTAGGTTATTATCTGGGTAGCGCAGTACGCGAAGCCCTACCTGAGATTTTGGAACTGTGGACCCGATATATTCCTCCCTCGTATCCTCAAGGCATAGAAGAGCTGAGTATCGACTCAGTGGGGGATGGTCCGCATCTACGCAAGATCGGAAAACTCCTCGCCACATGCTGCTGTAGAGCTTGCCTGTTCGATTCAGGCCCGAGTCATGTTTCGGTAAAAACCGCTTTTTCTGTTCTCTTTTGGTCACTCCCGCTGTTAAGCGCCTCATAGGATTGGTTGAATTCATTTATACACCGCTTCCACAGTGAATGGGAGCCTAGAGAATCTCCGGAGGGAAAGTCACCTTGTCGTCCGGAGCACTCTGGCTCTGACCCCGGTGTATTCCGTTCTCATATGTATCCACGGCACGCACGAGCTCAGTACCGACTTGGTGGCGGAGGGTCTGCGTCTGCTCACCATGATTTCTTCGACGGTGTAGTTCCGCAGATGGCGCCTGTTCGACTCAGGCCCGAGTCACTCACTCAGACTTTTTTTGAAAATTATCCCTTGCCTACTTACTCATACGAAAGGTTAAATTATTTCAAGCTGACTACAGACTCGGTGGTGGATGGTCCGCATCTGCACAAGGTAGCCGGGTGGTTTGATGCTTGTGCGGAAGTTGCCTGTTCGACTCAGGCCCCAGTCGTGATTGTTTCTAAGACTGTTCTTTTTCCTCCGGACGGATATTTGAAAGCTCACAAGGGATTCAATTATTTATGAAGTGGGAATGAAACTTATGGACGACTCGGTAGCGGATAATCCGTGTCCGCACAATCTAGGAAGAACCTGTGCCGAAATCGCCTGTCTGACTCGGGCCCGAGTCATGGGTCGCGAGTTCATCCCTTTATTTCGGGGGGCCATGTGGAACGTCTTGCGAAAACATTTGTGCGGCTGGATTTCGACAGTGCGGGTTACAGATTTGTATGACTCGGTATCCAACTAGGAAGGCTTCCATCCAAATCCCTGTTCGACTCAGGCCCCAGTCATTAGGCCTTCCTTCGCTTTTTCATCTGTCAGGGCCAGTCAATTTGCTCAGAGGTCTCCACAGAGCTACTTAGCCACCACACATCACCCATTTGTGTAACTAGGTAGCGGATGCTCCGCATCTGCACAATCTTCTTGGTGTGCATGCGATATTCCGCGGAAGCGACCATTGGACTCAGGCACCCAGTGTTCACGAAAGCCTTGTTTCTTAAGCGCCGGATGGAGTGGAGGGGCGGATACAGAGGAGAGAACAAGCTGAGGTGAGCTGCTGGCGGCGCCGCGGGTGGTGCGTTGACATGGAGAGCACGGGTTGGGTGCGGATGGAGCATCGGCGTTGTGCGCGGCTTGGTCGACGCTGGCGCAGCGGCGTCCTCAATCAGGCTAGACGTTTGTGGTCACGAGAAAGAACTTGAAGATTGGGAGCGAGACTGGGAACAACGAGGTGTCTGGATATGCGAGTAATGAGAGCCCTAAGAACGCACCACATCGACGTCAGCCAACCCCGAGCTCAGGATCCAATCCGTGATGGGTTCCCAAGTGAGAACACGGCTTGAATCCGGGGTCCGAGTTTGATTGAGCGTGATCTGTCGGGACAGTGAATGTGTGGCATGGCGCAGCGTGGCGTTAGGAGAGAAGAGGAGCGCATCAACGACGCGGCAGATGCCGAGTGGCCAATCCCGGTGATCTCCGAAGCGGCTGCTTTTCACACCACACTTCGACACTTCTTCTGTCTTCCTCACAGTAGGGGATCTATAGCGCGGGAGGAATAATTAATTTACAGCTTCCTTCTGCTGCAGTCTGACGACGGCAGTGCATCTGATATTACAGCCGGTTTCAAAGGTTTTGTGCAATTTTCAAGGGGGTTTCGGGATTAAAATTTCGAATATAGGGGGTCCCGAGGAGGGCTGAATTTTTTTTTTATCATGTAGTATGAGGGAGTTGCAAAACTGAAATATATACATATATACCTCATGGAGCGCCACAGGATGCCAGGAGGATGAATTCTGGGTCTCGGAAGTCAAATATGGTGTGGGTATGGCGATTTGGACAGCCGATTATGCTTACACACCATCAATTGGCGAGAACATTGTGTCCCGGTTTCCTCTAAGGGTGTTCAGCAGCTAAAAAAAATACTCACAATATATATGTGAGACCAGATTCATATATCATTTAACATCTGTGTGAGTGGGTCAAAGATGTGGTCAAAGCGGCACTCCGGCAAGAGGTATCCAGTACTAAAATTTGGTACACAGGGTCGGAAAAGTGAATTAAGGGCGTCCAGACCCTCCCTACCCTATGAGCCGAGTTATGTAAGCCCCAAATCGGGAAGTATTCCCATGGAAATGGCCACAAAAGCTCACATTTTAGCCTTAATCTATCACCTATCAGGCTGTGATGCGCGCTGTTTGTTGGCGCAGAAACTCATGATCAAACGTTCCCCGACTTCCCCGCACCTCCAACCGGTTAAAAAAACCCGACTTTTTTTTTTTACCCTTCTAAACACATTTTTAGAGGCCTCGGACCAAATTCCGAAAAGTGAAATAAGGTCCTCCAGACCCACCCTACCCTATGAGGCTGTGTCTCGGCTTCTTCCGGTGAATACCTCTTGCACTCCGGAGACCTTCAGTCAATGTTGAAATTGAATATAATTTACTTGTATAAGTGGTGGTATAGATGTAATGTGTAGCTCAAAGGGCTTCTTTTGGTCACAGTTGAGTCCACAGAGATGGGCCGCAACATCTTTGGTTTGGATTTGGACAGATTTGGACGCTGTCAATGTGGTGGCTGTGAGCCTGCACATGACTCGGAAGCGCGGCCCGCCGCTAAGGGTGGGAACCTCCTTCCCTATATGGCGGGGGGGGGGGGGGGGGGGGGGGAGGTCTGGCCGAGGGTCGAAAAAAAATTTCGACCCTATATCCGTTTTTCAAATCCCGATTCCCCCTTGGCAATTTTGATGAGAGTGGTGATCCTCGATTTCTGAGTATACCGTTGTTTGACGCTGCGTACGGAGCCGACGCCAGCCGAGGCTCCACACCAGCGCGGCCATGTCTGAAGTTGGTTGAAAATGGTCTTAATCTTGCTAAAACACCCAGGGTATCATCTTTTGTTGTTTCAAGGTATAGGGAAATGCTTTTGATACAAGAAAGCGTGTTGGAAAGTACAAGAAACCTATTTGAGCGCAGCCGTGGAGCCTCGGCCAAATGCCACAAAAACCTTCTCGAACTCGTTTTATACCTACCCAAGAGGTAGTGCAATATTCTGGGGCATTATATGGCCATTTCCACCTGACTTGAGAAAACCTTTGAAAGTTGATTGAGTAATCACACGCCCAAATCGTTGTCCCGTTTTCGTGATTTCGGAGGGTCTTTTCGAAATTCTAAATAGACAGACTGTCAGATACTGCTACGGTAACCCATCTTATGTCGAAATTCTATGAAATATCGCGTCCCACGCAACGCGCACTTCGCGACGTGAATTCAAACTCCGTGATTACATAATAACGGGCACTATGATCCAACTAAAAACTAGACTAACTAGTACTTCAATTTTGGGGTATTAACACACGCCGCTTTATGAGCCTTCTATCGTGTGAGTTGCAAATGGGTCGAACAGGGCTGAAGCAGCCATTATTTCGAGGTTCATTTTCCGATTCTGTCGGCATAAGAAAGGAGTGTCCTTGAACGCCGAATGTACACGCGGCGTCCCTTGCCAATACCTTCCATTCCGTTCTTCCGTTCTTCCGTTCTTCCGTTTCTCCGGTCAATTGGTCGTAATTCACGGTCGGATTTAGGCCAGGGATGACGCCAAACGGAATCGCAACTTGGGTAACACATGCGTGGTGTCTATTGGGAAAAAGCACTTGAGCTGTTAGGTTTGAAGTCACAGTATCCTGAAGAGATTGGCCTACTACCCTCAGCTCATATACTACAGAGGTATGTACACCAGAAGAATCTACATAATTCGGAGGCACATTAGTGCTCCGGTTACTAAGTGGGCACGGGTATCGGGCAGAAGCTCCGGCATCGGACAGATTGCCGTTCGTCAACAGCGTCGAAGTTAGGATATGCCACTAGAAATTGTCCTAACAACCAAGTGTCTGCCAATTTCCGTGTTTCCGCAGCCGAGACGCCACCGGACCATCGGACGACGTCTTGGCTGGTCATTCGTGTAACATCAGCCCCACAGATTTGTAACTCTGTTATTCTGAATTGGATTGGGGAAATATCCCCGGCCAACGAATTGATGTTACCAACCCTGTAGACAGAGCCCAGCGGTCTCGGGCTGGGAGAAGTAGCGGGGTAGTTTGCAAATCGGAGAGACCTCGTTTCTCCTATGCGCTCAAGCCGAAGATTACGCCAATAGAACTTGAAAAACGCGTTATGACGATTCCGCAGTTTCGATGATTGCCGGCTGTTCGCGTCTCTCTCCATGGAGGTGCCGCGCGAGAACAGCGCGACTGCTACTTGGCCTGAATAGTAAGGAAGGACCGAGATAACCACATACGGGTGGAGTCATCTCAACGGAGGTTGGTCATAGCGGAGAGAAACCGGCTGTGCGACACCTACATAATGCCCGTCGATCCTAGACCAAATCTTCGTTCTACACGTCACCATGTGGTCCAACCTTGTCTCCTCCAGTATTGGAGTCCTTGCAACATATGTGCTCTACCGCGTTATTAAGATGGCCTACATGAAGCTCACCTCCCCGCTGCGCAATCTGCCGGGCCCAAAATCCGCGTACTGGGTCTCGGGAAGTCTAACGGAGATCCTGAACAATGTGCGTACAATTCCACGAACTGCGGCTCATGGTCTCAATTTCATCCACAGCTGGACTTGAGACTTGAGGAAACCTGGATTAAGCGATATGGACCGACTATGAGGGTCAGCGGATTCTTTGTGAGTTGCTGAACCGAACCTATGGTTTGTTTTTGGAACGCTTCTTTCTCCCAGGGAGAATCAAGCCTATACACCATCGATACCAAGGCGATCCAGCACATCCTTACCAACAGCAACTACCAGAAGCCGGAGATAGGGCGATACGCCCTTGCACGGATCGTCGGACCAGGTGCGTGGTTAATTCTAGTGTCCGGACACCGTAAACAGAGGTTACCTAGGCATTCTCGTTACTGAGGGTGACGTTCACAGACAGCAGGTTGGCGACACTCTTGCATATAACTGTACCCAGAATTCTGACCGCCGTTCTGCAGCGTAAAATAATGGTAGGACACTTCTCCTACTCCGTCTTGAATTTCGATTACTCTCTGTACAGAACCCCGCGTTTGGAGCCCCCCAGATTCGCCAACTCACGGGGATCTTCGTCGATAAGTCCGTTCAGGTATGGGCACGAAATTTAACTATCCCCGATTATTGCATATGACTATCTTCAGCTTCGCAATATCTGGGCATCCGAGGCCGCACAGAATGGAGGCGTGGCGCATGTGGAGGCCATTTCCTGGCTGAACAAGGCCACCCTCGACATCATCGGTCTTGCAG